CAAAAGGCTATCCTGGAATGGAATTTGGCACTTGGATTGCAATACATTCTGTATCCTTGATCGACAAAAGCTGAGTGTGCTTCCTCATTCCCTTTCACTATTTTTGTTCCCCCAAGCTGTCCCCTCAGCCATATTAGGAGTCAGAGCTGATTCCACCATTAAGCAAAGTATAGTGGCCATTTCAGGTGGCAAACACGGTGAGCATTGGCAGAGAAGGCAGACCTGTACGCTCTCCAAGATACTAGAAAGCGCCAGTGTAGACACTGTAAGTCTAGTCAGTTTCCATATGCAGAATGTGGGATAGATGCCACTTTGTCCTTCATCTCAGGCAGCAAGTAGGCTGGATTTGGCCCTGAATGGTGCTTAGGAATCTAGACCTCTCCTGTCCGCATTTTCTACTGAACCACTGAATTTGAAGAATGTTTTTTTTTTATTTATGGGGCTTTTTAAATACTGTTCTATAGGAGAGACTCTTTTGTGCCATTTCTCTGAGACCCAGTTAAAAGGTACCATTTCTGATTGATAAATGACAATTATCTCCATTCTTGCTTAACAACCAGCTGGGAGAAGGAAGCAATCTCCAGGAGGGAGTGAGTGGCAGTCTATTTGCTACTTTCTCTTTGAACAGGACTGCACTTCACAATCAATGTCCACTCAATTTTAATATTAAAATATCACTGTCACAATCAAAAGAGAAAAAAATCTGCATGTGAGCTCTCCAAAAGATTCTAATACGCAGAGTAGAAAGTTTCTGTGCCTGGCATGTGAAGATTAGTTCTAAAATCAGTCATTTTGCAGATCAGGCAAAATGCAGATGTTAGGAACAGGGGAAATTTAACCTGGTCTGCATTTTTACATGAACCAAACATTTTGCCACTTCCAGGACTATTAGGTCAATCAGAACTTTCTTGGGATTGTGCACCTCTCCAAATTTTATGAAGCAGTTGCCAGATTGATTATTGTATACCAACATACATATATGAAGGAAAAGTGGATACAAAAGAGGTACAGTGGGGCGGATTGTGCATGTATGCTAATTTCGAGAGGCTTTAAATTTTATTTTTAATTGCAGACTGATGTGAAAACTTAGTGGAGAGAAAATCAACATGGTCAACGAATAAACTGATCTGCCCATCTCTACCAGATGTGATAGCTTCTGATCTTGAAATCAGACGTTTTGTGGGTGGCTGTGCTGAAAGAAACACATTCACAGAGAGTTTCACTATTTTACTATTGCTTTCAAAGAATTTAGTGGAGTGTTTTTTTCCAACATCTATTCTTCTATGTTCAAGATTTTCCATCCCTGTGGCTTCTCATTCAATTTCTTCCTGCCATCACCACATGCAATTCCCAACTTAGGGGGCAATCCTACCCCAGTTTAGACAGAAACAAGGGGTACAACTCCCAGCAGGTCCCACCTTCCAAAAGTCTCCATACCAGGTTTAGAATGGAGCAAGCAACAAAGAACAGATCTTTGCAAAATAAGCGAGTGTTCATTCATGTGGTCTGTTTCAGTTTTGGATTTCTTTCCCCCTTTCTTCCTCTTTTGGTATGTCTAAATTATGTTAAGTTTATGGTAAGTCTAAATTCTGTTCATTTTATGCAGTATATGAATTACTTGATTCAGAGCTACCAACAATACATCTATGCAGCTTTCTTCACTGGATTCCTTCTTGACTTCCCCTGAGTGGGGGCTGAGGGTGAAGTGTGTGGTACGATCGACCAGCACTATCCAACCCATTGGGAACCCATGAGGATTTAATGTTCCATTCAGTGTCTTACCTGTGAAAACAAGAATTGTTCTAGGTGTGGTTGAAACGTCTATGCCTCAGACATTCTACTGGGGGTGTCTGCCACCTCTCACAAGCTCTTATTCATCAACAGACTCAAACACTCCAATTGTTCAGTCATGAAGTGCACAGAGTAAGAGGTGGGTAGGGAAACAAGTTTATATCTTGGTATTTCCCGGGAGAGGAACTTTCAAGGGGAAATGCATGAAGCTGGCCTCTCACAGCTCATGGAGACGTTCTGTTTAGAAACAGGCGGTACGGGGTGTGTGGGGGAACACGCTCGCGTATTCAGAGGACTGGGCGATAGGCTCAGGACATGAAAATCAACTGCATTGAAAGGAAGTGCTACTGTTGAATTCTCCCCCATGTAAAAATATCCGCCACTAAAAAAATTGGCATATGGTATGGGGAGAGGTCTACTCTGGCCTGCTCCTTCCCATGCTCCTTTTCTATTTACACATGATCTTCACACAGCAGCCAAAGAATATGTTTAACCATATGGGCTTTTCTACATAAGCCATCTAATCGAGGGCTTCCCCCCCACACTTTTTTTTTTTTTGCAGGACAATTAAAGGGTCTTTTACATGAGTTTTTTTCCCTTTCTCTGCTTGTCTGTATGTTCCACTGTGCTCCATTCCCCAACACCATGTAGCAGAAGTGTGGAAATACCATGTGGCAAATCATGGTGCCATCTAGGAGAACAGCAGACTTTCCTTTGTGTAGAAGAAAAGCCACAGGATGACTGGAAAACTCAGGAGAGTCCCTGGCAGGAGGGTGAGATGATGTAAAGGATGAATGGAGGCTCATGAGCACACAATGGACGCTTCTTGCAGAACAGCCCCCCAAATCTATACAGGAACAGACTAGCCCATCACGTCTCTGTTCTTATCACCTCATTCTGCTGCACCTGCAGGCTGCACCATTTATTTAATTTATTTATTTAGAAAATTTCTATGCTGCCCCATTCGCCGAAGCCTCGGGGTGGCTCACAACATAAATTTTATTTAAACCAAGAGCACAAGGAAAGAGAAACCAGCTGACCATTAGAACCACTAAAGGAAAGCGCTTGGTTTGAGCTTTCTTTTCTATTGTCCCAAAAATCAACTTTATTTGCAGTCTGGGTTCATTCAACTGAGACTAATTTCTACATGTCCCCAGGGTGAAGAATTAATAATTCAAGTCAATCTCAGTTACTAGTTATTTATGAACATTCTCAAATAACACTTGAAGAGAACATATAATAAATGAACAATGTACACAGTTCCTTTTTGTTGATTCCTGCACATTTTGTAAAGGTCTATGGAGACCTTAGAGCATGGACAAACTACAAAATTACAATCAGATTATGCTAATTCTCTAGTATTTCTTGGAGACTATGCGTATTGCCCAGATATGCAAAGCATGCGCATTCTCCTAACAATGCACATATTGTACAGAAAATGTACAAAAGATCATCAAATTACACACATTCCCAAAGGTTTGATGGGAGTTATGCACAACGGTAAGACAATGTACAAAATGCAATCAAGACCTTTTCCCAAAACCTGTTGGGAATAATGCATAATAGCTAGAGAACAAAGCTTGTGAAGTTGCACAGTACTTGATTGTTACACACACTAACCATTGGACTCATATTAGTTCTAACATATACATATGGAAAGTATCCTAATGAGTTTTTATGTTTAAAAAATAATAAAGCAATGGTACTTATAAACCATATTGGTATTTTTGTCCTGAAAGATGTCATATAAACCATTTTAATAGATTACCTCTGACTGGGCTCTACTTTGTTGTTGTTAGTTGCGAAGTTGTGTCCGACCCATCACGACCCCATGGACAACATTCCTCCAGGCCTTCCTGTCCTCCACCATCCCCAGGAGTCCACTCAAGCTCACACCAACTGCTTCAGTGACTCCATCTAGCCACCTCATTCTCTGCCGTCCCCTTCTTTTGCCCTCAATTGTTCCCAGCATCAGGCTCTTCTCCAGGAAGTCCTTCCTTCTCATTAGGTGGCCAAAGTATTTGAGTTTCATCTTCAGGGCTTCATTTAGTCCATTCTAAAAGAAACCTCTGCAGTTGTTTGGATGCCAGTTGCCATTTTTGTTCTCTTTCTGCTTCTCTCAAACAGGCTTTTAATAAATGCTGTTAGAGACTTTCTTGATTATCCCACAATCCTATGACAACAGGATTATAATTGGAATATAGCATAATGTAGAGGTAGCAAAGCTTTGGCATTCTAGGCGTTCTTGGACTCTGGCTTCCATCAGCATGGTCAAGTCAGGGATGATGGCAATCGCATTTCCCCAAGAGGGAAAGGGGAACAGGTCAATGGGCCTAACTTACATGTAAGAATATCCAAGATTTCAGCTTTGAGATAAACTACTCAGTTTGCCCCAGATGGAAGAAGAATATCCTGAAAAATTGCTAATTGGGCCCTCTCACACAATCCTTCCTCTTACTGTTGGAAAAGCTGTCCTATTCTTTTCAGCTTTTAAAATGACTATTGAAGGGAATCAGACTTTGATCCCTCCTGCACTGATTCTGCTACACTTCTGAATGCTGGCATTGGATTGTGGCTGGGTGGCCTACATTTTTGTATGCCTCCCACAACATAAACAAACCCCCTGAAAGTAGCACTAGAGTGCTGGAATGGAGAGAGAATTGCTACAGGAGTTCTAGTTGATTTAATCCTCAGTTTGTAGAGGAAGGATTCAAAACTGCAATTACACCTTTGTACACACTGCAGTCTTAAGTGGTCTGCTCTTCCACCACCCTAGCATTCTGCTGCAAAATCACATTTCTGGAAGAAGCAAAAAACTATTTAGGACAATGCCTTGGTCAGTGCAGGAAATTCCCCAATGGACAGCCGGCTTCTGCTTGAAGACTGTTAGTGCAAGAGGCCCAACACCCTGCATCCAGATAATTGGTTTCAGTGTTGAACCAAAATCCACTTTTCTATAACTGAACCCCACTAAATCCCTCTGGGACAGTAGAGAATGACTGAGTTCAGACAACATGAAACCCATGTTTCAAAAACATTTCACACTCCCTTTTATTCCAGAGTCCCCACTGAAAAGAAGACATAAGCAGATAAGAAATCTTCAGTAAGTTTATTAATCAGGATAAAAATTTACATATAATAAAAAGATGTTTGTTTAAAAATGACTACCCTGCCCGGCTTTCAGAAAGAAAGATACACACACACACACATATTTAGATTTTTTTTTCTTCTGAAGGGAGGGAGAGAGTAATGCCAAAATCTCCCTCAATACTGTCAAATTGGGACTAGAGGCTGAGTATACCAATCAAATACGTCTCAACTCAAGTTTGAGGAGCACTTTATTCTAGTTAAAATTTTAAACTTATTTTTAAACTTATTTTTCCTTTTAAAAAGCAGGTATTTGTGTGAGACTGAAGCAGAAAGCTTTAGACAAAGAAGCTGCAGGCACTAGCATTCACAGTGAAAGGTAACAAAGACAGAAACAGAGTCTTCTGTTTGAGGATGTTAGAAGTTGCTGCTGTCTCTCCTTCCAACAGCTGAGTCTAAAAATACAATTTAGCAAGGGAGAGGCTTTGTCTGTTAACCAGGACTTTTGCTCTCAGAGGCTCTTGTGTTTGCCATGAAGCCTCATGAAAGAATCCACAAGTTTTGAGCAACCTCCAAAACTCTTGAAGATGTTATTTCTTACTTCGTGTTCATGCTCTGGAGTGTCCATCTGGTGGGGCTGAACCAGATTTGTCACAACTTAACTCAAATATCCATCTCAGGTAAGGGGGGAAATTTATTCCAACATGAGTTTCTGCTTTATTTTTTAAACCCCAGGAAAGAAGTGGGGTGGTTTCACTTCCCCTTGAAATCCTGTGATATAAGAACAAATGACCATTTACAACAGGTCTAGGAATGACAGTGATGAGCCCCAGATATAGGGTGGTTGTCTCCTGTGATCATTTTTTGCCAGCAATCTGGTTTTCCAGCTGGTCAAGTCGGGCAGTCATCTGGGCAAGTGCTTGCGTTAAGGAATCCAATATACAGGTTTGTGCAGGCAATCATTGCATACCAAAGGGAAGGCAGCTGAGGATTGTAGCTCCTGGCATCAGAATATGGGGAAAGACTGATGAATGACTGAATGGCTGAATGACTGATAAGCATGGGGCAGAAGCCAACTGGAGACCTCTAACATACAGCCTGTAGCTTTAGCTGGTGTAATGAGTTTGAAGGAATGCTGCCACACCAACCAATACTATTGGTATTCGGCTCAAAGGCCCTTCTGCTAATGCAGTGTAATGTACATTAGCACTAGTGTTCAACTGGATACTGCCAGTTAAATGGTCATTACATCATTCTCCTCTTTGAGATTTTTTTACCATTTCAAGCAGTCGCTACTGAGGCTAAATCACAAAGGCACTTTGCCGAACAAACCCATTGTGGTCCCATCATCTCACATTACACTGGCAGTCCAGGAGCTCCTGCAGTGCCCTTTCGTCTCACACCATGCCCCATGCGTGCTGCTCACCTATGGATGTTCCCTATGCTACCTTGCTGAGGTGACTAGCCAGTGTGACCCAGGCACCTACGAGGAGGTGTCAACAGAAAAGAGATAATCAGTCAGCAAACATGGTGTCCTATCACCACATTTGCAGACATAATTGGAATGTCGGGTAGCACTTGCAGGGGAAATTTGTGTTGGCAGGAGTTCAAATTTCCCTTTTTTATCTCTAATTCTACCCTCAGAGGTCCATTTTGCCTAACCAGTAAGCTATGTAACACTGTATATTTGTGCCTGGGGTTTCCCCTATTTAAACCTTTTGCTCAAGCCACCATCTTCCCTCCCCTGAAATCCTAAAAAGCAATTATTTGGGTCTTCTGCATAAGGTTTCCACATGTGTCAGGGCACTAACCCTCAAGTCTCTAGCTCTTAGGTGCCCACTTCCTCAGGAACATTTGCCACCCAATGCCCATGGGAGAGGATATCCAATGTGGCAATTCCAGAATAGGAACATTAGAGCAACATTCCTGTTTAACAGGACTTGCTTTGTGAAGGTTAAACCAAAAGGATATTTTTATCAGTGAGGTCTTCCAGGATTGCCACTGTGGTTGACTGGAACTGTACAAGGGCCTCACATTCACATGGGCTACGGAATTCAGTTTCACCTTTGCCCTCTTCTGAAATAATATAAAAATGCATTAGATATATGATCAGACATGTTTTGTCAATACTCAACATCTGAAGCTTCTAACTTCACTGCAGACTCATCTATGAATGGACTGAATATGACAGTTTCCTTTTATGTTGACTCCTATACAACATTAAGGACATCTGAAATGTGAGGTGTGATTAGAGGTGTATTGGGGGGCAGGAGTAAGAATTGTTTAGGGACTATAATTTTGACCTCAAAGATGTCAGGAAAATAATTATGTGCTTGAGGCAGCCTCCTTTATGATCTTGCAGGAGGCTCAGCAATATGTAATTGCTCTAAGACCCTGGTAGTCCTGAATTCAGCTCAGGTGTGGGCCCCTGTGTGCAAGCAGAGCTTGCTAAGTTCAGTCAATTCTTTTAAAATGTTTTAAAACCATTTTGTTATGTGCAGTTGCTCTGTCCATAAGAAACTCCACAGTGGGGTTGGGCTGCGAGAGATAAGAAGCTAAACCACAGCTCAGCTGCAGGGTGGAACAGTCTTAGGAAGAGATTTTGTGTATCTTCCGGCATCACCTGAAAACCCTAACAATGTGCCTCTGGGATGTAGGACACCCGAAGTGGCAAAACACCCATTCTCCATGTGCAAAATGTATATGGAACCACAGATGAAACTTTAAGGACATCTGCTGTTGCGTCTACACATAAACAACACTGAATTCTAGCAAGCTCCATGGTCCACGAGCTGTAGGAATGCAGTGTTGATCAATCCAAGGAAAACTAAGTTTGCTTGCAAAATCTGAGTATAACGGCATGGGTACAATCAGATTCATCTTAAAAATCTGATAAAGGTGATGGGAAAGACAGCCAAATCTTTGCAAAACTTTTGGCCACATGATTGCTTATAATAATTGAATCCTCTTTTTAAGAGGCTTCTAAATTTAATGCAAAATAATCTGGACACTAAGTGCTAGCTGGGCAGGACAGAGAACTGGATACGGAATAAGCCATTTACCAGTGGAATCTACTGAAAAATGCCATTCAAGTATCTGATGGTGCCGACATAACAGCAAAAGGCTTTGTTTTCATCCCCAGGTTGCATCCTCACTTACCAGGACAGATGTTGAGTTTGAGATTGTCAACAATATGAGTCATCGTGTTAAAATCTGCTGAGTATGAGAAGTGCTGTTCCACCGGCTCAGAGGCAATTTCCCTGAGTTCCTCCTCAACAGCTTTACCAACGCCAACCGCAAACATGGTAATCCCTGCATTCCAGCAACATAGAATGGATCCAAGTTTAGATATTTGTAGGAAAGAATTCAGTTTGATGGGACTCTGGTCAATTGTTTGAACTTCAGTAACAAGATAGTATTCACACTCAGTCCAGGAGGCCTTTGGAGGCACCATCTTAAATATAGGTATCCGTCACAAATATTTGACCAGCAAGCACTGTACCTCCTGGTTTAGAATAAGAATTTTTTAAAATCTATGTTCTTAGTTTTTCAGTTGATGGCAAAAAGAGACTACGCCTTCAAATGCTGAAGAAAATACCATTTCTTCCTCAATGGAATTTTTAGCCCTCAATGTTCATTTTAGCCCTCTTCCATATATTTTAGGCCTTCTTCAGAGGTTGAGATTTTTAAAAAATTGACAGTAGAGACAGTAGAGAGAAAAGATAAGTAACCTGAAATTTGACCTTGAGTCCAATCTTTTCAGAAATCTCTACTGCCAAATTTTAAACATCTAACCGCAAGTCCCCCTTATCACAGTGAAAAAATATGGCAGAGGGCCAAAACAGGATAGACTATTTACAGAAAATATATTTATACACACATGTACTTAATTATATAAATGCAATATCCTAAGACTTTGTCCTTTTTTACCAGCAGGTTATTTTGGATGTTTCCTACTTTTGCCTGACCTTAGTTCTTCGTCCACAAATTCTGAACTGACCAAGGGCTGAAAATGGCTCCCCTCGGGCTCTGTCTTCTAACATGCTCTGCATGAGCCAAGGCAAAGGCAAATATTTTTAAAATCATATTTCCCCAGTATGAATAGGAACAGACAAGAGGCAAATTTGCTCCACTGCTCCTCTAACAGCTTCCTGAAAACAGATGGGTGGTGGAGCACTTTATTTCAATAGCTGGCCTGCTGCAGTGGTTCCAGCATACAGACTTCTCTGCAAGGCTGAACTCTGCATACATTGCAGATAAAATATGACTAAAAATGCATATTTTGTGTATAAGAAATGCATAGTTATATGCATATTTTTAAAGCTACACATTAATTTGGAAAGGACAGAACAGAGTTGTGAATAAACACATGCAAATTTGACATGGACTAAGAAACCCTGACCATTCTCTCCATCTCTACCATTGGTGTTCCCAGGTCACCAATGGCTTACTTCCCCAACCTGGAGCCCTCCAGATGTATAGGACTACAAGTTCCAGCCAGCATGGGGATGATGGGAACTGTACTCTAACATATCTGGAGAGCACTAGGCTGGCGGAGGCTAACATATCCAATCTAGGCAATTAATTGGAATACCCAATGAAACCAATCAGAGCTGTAGGATAAACAGTGAAGAAGTAATATGTGGCAATTATTAAATATTGTGTATCGGTCCACTTGAATTTCCTTTATTCTTCCCATCATGCTAATGTCTTTTCCTCCCATGAGAAAGAACAAGACCACAATCCAGATGACTAAACAGCCAAAAAGAAGAAGCAAACAAGCACTTCTAGACACAGGACTGGCCAAGGACAAACACTTCTTCCCCTCCCTTCTTTTTTGTTTAGGTTTTACTGCAAAACGCAAGCTGACTGCATTCATCTGGGCAGACATCAGAAAGACCACTGGACCGTCTCTTCTCCTAATCTCTAGGAGTTTTGCAACTGGCTGTAAACGCATTCTGAGGCCTCACTTCTTCTAGGAACTGTAACCTGAGCCTCCATGCATTTGCCTTTTGGCAATAACAAAAGGAAACCAGAAAATTCACTAATTAGCCACAAATTCCTGACACTGCCCCAAAACACAGAAGCAGATCGGTTGGCTGGAATGTTCCAGCAAGCTTTAGTTCACCTTCCAGAAGTGGAGTTTTTGCCCACGTTACTTTGCCCAGATCGTTAAAGGCAAGTGCTGCCAGCCCATTCTGCCTACGGAGTGGCTTCAGGACAATTTTACAGCACAGACTTAAAACTGGTTTGAGGATCATTCTCATTCCCCATTCCCAGCAGTTCTGTGCCAATGGGACTTGGGTTCTGTAGCACAGAAGTTTCAGCACCTTCACCAAGCTACAAGTCCCAGGGTGGGCACTGGAGGCCAGTGGCTCCATTGTGAGTGGGGCAAAGCATCCTCTCACGGTTCTAATCGGAACCTTTAAGAAGCTTCCTATGACACTGAAACTACATTGGGGACAGAGGATGGAGTTCAGCATGATGGGGAGCTCATTGTAAGTTCGGACTCAAAGCCAAAGTGGATGCACCTCCCCATTCACCTTGGAAGTTACAGCATCTACTCCCTTAGGGAAGCCATGACAATTCAGCAGACATAAAGCCCCTATTAATTTGCAGTGCAGGTGGTCAGCAAATGTTAGCATCCTTACTGCTACAGAGGTGTGGGCCAGATCTGAGCTTTCTAAAAAGAAGATGACAAAAGGAAGCATGAGGGACCACAGAAGGAGGGACTTAGTGGCAAAATATATGCTGTACTTGCAGATGGTTTCAGTTTTGATCCCTGGTATCTCCAGTTTAAAAAAGTACCGGGTAGCAGAGGCAGTGAGTGTCTTTAGCTAACCAGATATCACTGCTGGTCAGAGTAAGTGATATTGGGCTAGATGAGGGGCGGCTCTTCCAACGTGGTTGGGTACAGCTCAGTTTTGGTTTAAATGTATCATTGTGTTTTTAGATCTTTTAGATCTGTGCTACTGGCCGGCTCTCTGGGTTTTTATTTTGGTTGTATTCTGCTTTAAACTTTTAAAGGTGTTCTACTTTATCATGTTGCTTTCACAGATTTTAACTCTGGCAATGCACCCAAAAAATCTATTGGATGGTAAAGAAATAAACTCTGCAACAACTCTTCCATTGTCCCCATTTTTCTCCAACTCACGCATTTCCGTAGCTCCCTCACCTGACTCCTTTGCTCTTCTAGCCCACTCGGAGATGTCATCCTGAGAGCGCCCATCAGTGAAGACCAGGCCAATCCTAGGTACATTTTGTGAGAGAGGTCGGGCACCTTCTGTCTCAGAGAAGCTGTGCTCCAACATGTGCTTGAGGGCTAGTCCAGTCATGGTGCCCTTCTCCATGTACTGCACCCTCTGCACGGCTTTCTTGACATCAGCAGCTGTCGTGAATTTGTTGAGGGGGAACTCTGTGCGCACACGGCTGGAGTACTGGACCAGCCCCACACGGGTACCATGTGGAGACACATCCAGGAAGTCCACAATCTGATTCACAAACTGCTTCACCAGCTCAAAGTTCTGAGGCCGGACACTCTTGGAGCCATCAATCACCATCACCAAGTCAATGTGCCCAGCTTTGCATTCTATAACCCAGAGAGGAAAGGGAAGGTGAAATGAATGAGACAACACTGGCCTTGCCTTCAAAAGAGCATAAAGTCAGACCAAGGTTCAATTTGGATGCCAGGAAGTACTTCCTGACAGTTAGGACCCCAAGGTTATGGAATGGGCTTCCACGGGAGGTGGTTGAAGCCCCATCAGGGAGGGTGTCCAAGGATAGGCTGGACATGCACATGGCAGGCATGTCATGAGTAGAGCCAGAGTCAGACTAGATGGCCTGGGAGGCCCCTTCCGACTCATTCTGTTTCTATATTTCTGTTATGCTCCAATACTTTCTAATTTCCCAATCTAGGCATCTTTGAGGACCCCAGCTCTACAAATTACATTTCCAATCATGCAAAGTTTTGCCTCACAGGCCTTCAGAGGATCCCTACCCAATCCTAATTCCAGCACATTGTAATTTGGTGTTGGGAGCAGCCTCAAATAAGGTTCTCAAGAGGGGGTCTCCAGTGACTTTGCAGTGTTTGACCTGGTGTGCAACCAGAGCTCTGGTTCATCAGCAAAAAGAACTCTGAACTGTGGATTTAAGAAGTCCATCTAGGCTTCAGTGCCTGCTTGAATGCTGTCAGCTGACACCACAGCCCCATCAGGAACCACCATGGGCCAATCGAGTCACCTTCCTCCTCTGAGCATCTTGTCCTTGGTAAAAGCTGTTAAGCGAACTCTCCTGATTTCCAGCCCAGCTTAAACCATATACTCTGCCTCTACTCCTTCGGACTCTGACCTGCCTGCTCCAGAAGTCACCAGCTGGCTTGTTTCAGGGCCCAAACAAACATTACTTCAAACCTCTACCTCTTTTTTTCATTTTTACCCTAGGGTGAGAATAGGAGGACCAACTCAGATTTGAACACGCCCCCCCCCCCAACCCCACATGCTGTGGCCCTGATCCAGTTTAGTGCCTCCCCATGCCTGCTCTAGAGTAACAATGAAAAAAGACATGCAGAAAGGTTTAAAGTTGTTTAAACTTTAGTAGTTTAAAGGTTTAAACTTAGACTGCACGGTCTCATTCCTGAGCTGCCATCGTCTTGGTGTTTGATCGGCTGCACACTCTGTAAGAACGTATTCCTAAACTGAAGTTCTTGTGCTTCTCTTCACAGAATCTTTACAGATCACAGACAAATCCTTTTATGACAGCAGATCCTTTGGTATGGGAGGGTCAAACGATACTTTTTTCCCTTTCATTTCAGCCCTAGGAACCTCTCCTAATTCCATGCAAGTCTGCTGTTACCCATCCCAGCACATCCACTGTAGTGGTAATCAGAAAGTTAATGCATTCCTCATCATGTCCCATGTGTTTGGTTAAAATAGACCAAAAATGGTGATCCGTTATGACCAAACAATACCATCACCATTCTCCTATCCCTTTGAAATTATATGCGAAGCTATGGTTATGAGATGTCTTGACTGGGCATCATTCCAGGTTGAAGAACCATGGACCAAGAGCATTCCATGCCATGCCCAGCCACTGATACTCACTGTTACATGTCTTCTTATCTGCCTGAAGCTGCTGACCCTCAGGGCAGACACAGTGGTAAGAGCCAGCAGTGCTGACACACTTAAATTCGCATCCATGCTCAATGCTATTGCAGAGATCACTGGCTGAAACAAACCACAAGAATAATTTCAGTTACCTGTGAAGTGGATTATCATGTTGTGTCTGGCACAGAACCATTAAAATGATGTGTCAAAGAAGACTTGACTTTCTCAAAGAACTTTCCATGCAAAGTGAATAACTGCATTCCAAAATCCCTAAGGAAATGACTTTTAAAATAAGGTTTATAATGGTACACTTTTGGTAATGAATCCAAAGCCAGGAACAGAGTATCCTATCCCTATGCAACAGATGGTGAAAAGAGTACAAGCCAATCTCATCATCTATATTGGGTGGGTGTTGGCAGAGATATTTTTTATTGCAAATGAGTACATTATAAAGAGCATGTTTTTCAAACTCATCATGACCTCAAACAAAAAAATCTACAGAAGAGAAAAAAGTATCAAAAAGAAAACAAGTATCATAAATGCTACATCTATAAAATCCCAATTGAAATTTGAAACTAAAAGGTGACAGAATAATCCTGACCGTGTTTACTCAAAAGTAAGGTCTGCTGGCTTCAATAAGACTTACTTTCTAGCAAGGTTAGACAGGACTGTACATTATTCATTATAAAAGGGGCTATTTTGGCCAGGCTAGAATTACATTTTGACAATTAGTCATATAGGATACACTTAATTTGACTACATTCTATGACTGGGTTTGCATGTAATCAACAATCCATGGTTTGTTAACTGAAGGCTGTTGAAAATACAATAGGAATAAGTGTGCATGCTGGTTTCAGATGAGATCACATGCTGGGCCATTGGTTCCATAATAATCCAGAGTTCCAGGTTCAACCTTCGCAACGAACAACCCAGGGACAGATCATTCCTGCATTATCACACCAGGAACACAGGATCCAGCACACACAATCCTGCTGTATTAACAACAATCCACATTGTCTGTTGATAAGGACCTATATCATATTAATCCATTCAGCTTTTGTTAGATTTGATTTTGTTTTCCAATGCTTAGCAAAACGTATCCTAGAGATCATCACAAGAGTTTTCTATTATTTCTTAGGTCTGGTTTGCAATCCTATATACATTTACCTTGGAGTAAGCATCCGTATAGTCAATAGAGCTTACTTCAGAATTAAGATGTATAGGACTGCACCCTCAACATAATTAAGAAGGCATATTAGGGCTTCCCTACATGAGGCATAGAACCTGGGGTCTTATTGAGACGTCTTCCATTTTCTCTGTGGGATGATTAGGGGATTCTTCACACAAGTTTGTATGTTTGTTTGTTTTTCTCCTCTGCCTGATCCCAGTGGTTTTCTTATTCTGGAATACTCCAGCTCATTTTCAATAGTGACCTGGAAAGCCTAGGTCCAAAACAAACCTTACTTTAAATCCATGTCTGGCAGGTATGTCTTTTGTTTCTTTTGGCCTTCATATTTACTCTACAGTATCACAGGGGGGATTTTGCACTGGGACCCTTGCACAGTATTGGGGGGGGGTAGGAAGCTTTTAAGATTAAGCTCCCCCCCCCCCCGTGCCTATGCCAGAATCAAAACAAAATAAAACAAAAGCTAGTTTCCAGGTAGAAATCACCCAGAGTTTTGGCCATGGAGCAGTATAGAAATGCATACATTTAAAGAAATGTTTCTTTCACCCCCTAGTTATTGCTCAAAGGTAGATATTGCCCTGGATGTTTTAACACCCCTGTGTGTTGTGTGTGTGTGTGTGTGTGACACTAAGGTATCTCACATCTCACATCACAGTCCTGCCCATACAGAACTCACCTTGACATGCCTTGCCATCAGCCTGCAGTGTGTAGCCATCACGACAGCGGCAATAGAATCCATTCAGGATGTTAACGCATTCATGCTGGCAACTGTGGTTGCCAAAGTTACAGAAATTGATCACTGAAAGAGAGAGATCCCAAGAACTGTTCTGTAAGGCCACCCTTTACAGATCAGCACATAGACCATGTATCCCAGACCCCAGGGGTCTGGTCAGCAAGGACACCTCACTTTAGATTCAAGGATACTAGGAAGAAAGTTTATACATAGGTTAAAGATTATATACGATTTACTTAATACGATGATGAAATGTAGATGCAGAACAGAAACAAGCGAATGAAAGTTCATATCCCTGAACAGGCTTACATCCTATCGTACTGGTTTACATCCTATTGGCTCCTATTCTGCCCAGGGGATGCTCATGGGCCTCCAAGGCTGCCTGGGTGAGTGACGCATCAACTCCTCTGCCCAGGCTAAAAACAAAGGACAATGCCTTGTGCCAAGCATTTCGTAAAGCTCCTCTCTCCCACTATTTCAGTGTCTGGCAGTATGCACGTAAGAGATGGGGAAGGGGTGGGCGGGGGGCTACTTCAGGTGAGGCAGGCAGTTTCCATTCTTGTAGCTCTTATCTGAGAAATATACTTGGAGAAAGCAGCTTTAAGCCAATAATCTCTGGTGCTCTTCTGAAGGCCATAAGGTCTTTGCATAGCTCTCAAACATCCATCCTGACTTTTGGATACTGGAAAAGTTCACCACATTACCCACTGAACCTTAATAAGCTCCTTGCCATTCTTCCCATAATGTCTACCCAATGCAGAGAGGAACCATCCACTGCCCAAAGCTAGGCAAGGCAGGTGAGCAAGCAGGTAGCAGACAGTGGCTGTTACTTCGTACCATCATCTTTTGTTCAGGCCCTTGAGATGGGGTGGGGAGCCTCAAGCTTGGAGGCCAATTTTTCCCTACCTGGCTTCTAGTAGACCTCTCCAGGTTTGCCCAGATGGCCTGCCCTTGGGTTCCATCCCCATGACCACTGATTCTTTGGCTTCTTTCCAGCATTTGTGAATTCTGATAGGTTGACATGAAGCTCCTAAGACCCAGGGCTGTAAATGCTTTAAACTAAAATATAGTGGGGGGGGGGGGTTTGCCCTGCCCCTTTGGCCCTTACCCACTGCTGGAATGAAGCCCTTGAAAGCACTTCCAAAATGGAAACCAGCTCTTATGTCAAGAGATGCCCAATGCTTGTGCCCTAAAGCAATCATGCATTTACTCTGTAAGCTTCTCTCCCTGGTCAAAACAACCACTATCACCCCACCACCACTACCACCAGAAACAGCAGCCAGGACCCTTCTCTGTGCTTCCACAATCTTGGTCAAATTTAAGATAAGCAGGTCAAGAGGAGGGATGGTCCCTACCCATACCATTCTTCTGCCAAAAATCCCCACCTCAAACTGACTTTCCCTTGAAATTTCCCTTCGTATAATGGTTAGAGTGCTGGAGTGAGATTCGGGAGATTCAAGTTCTAGTCCCCATTCAGCCAAAAAACTCACTTGAGTGGCTTTGGGCTTAGGGGAGTTCCGAGACTAACATGAAGAGAAGGAGAAGGCTTATAGAAGCTGCCTTGCATAGCTTGCAGGGAAAAGGCAAGGCATGAAGAAATGCTTACTGCTACATGTCTTCTTGTCCTGGTTGAGCTGATAGCCTGTCCAGCAGCGGCAACTGTAGGAGCCATGGGAACTGACACACTGGTGCTCACAGCCATGCTTCCCATCAGCACAAGCATCAATGACTGCAGAAGCAGAAGAGAACACATAGTCTGGGCCTTCAAACAAATGACTGAAGGAAATCTTGTATGTTCTAACTATTGCAACCAGGGAACTGAGGTGCAGCTATCCAGAGTGGCAGAAAGCCACAGCAACCTCAGCTCTTGAACAAGGCGAGTGACAGCGTACCTTTGTTTCAAGTGCCATATTCATACTTTACTTCTGTCCTATCTGGAAATGTATGTGTAGATACTGTTCTTTACATGTCCACTTCTCTGGCTCCTTCCTCCCTAGCACTGATTTCTTTTGCAAGGGATTTGCACAGCATAGTATAGAACTAGCTAACAAACACCACATTGTTTTCCACACTGGCACACGTCCGGCACAGACTCAGATTATACAGATGCTTCATTGTCAAATTTTATGATTTGTTTCCAATTCAGCAACATTGTAAAATCAGTTCCATTCAACCTGCAGTTTACATTATGAAACCAAAGCTCAAGAACAAGGATAATTTTTATCCATGTAGTCATCTCTAAACACCATTTGACTGATACCATGTGTTACACTAGCAGTTATTTAGTCATGCTTACTGGAGCAGGTCTTTCCATCCGTTTTGAGCTTGTATCCGGGTTTGCACTGACAATAAAACGAGCCTGGGACACTGACGCAGGTGTGCTGGCAACCATGATCCAATTCTGTGCACATATCGACGCCTGAAAGATGCAAGTTGGTGCCTTTAGACAGGGATCTGCCGCTTGCATCACACATGAAAAGAACAGATGCATCAGGAGGGTGAAGGCAATCCATCCTGAATTCAGTCAAAATGAATCTCTCTCTTTCTCTCTCTCAATCTCTGTTTGAGCTCTAGAGGGAAAGGATTGCAGCAGAAACCTGCAGTGAGCAGCGCAGATTGGCAGGTGCCTATGACACCACCAAGAAATCTCTCACAACAGGATCTCTGCAGAAAGCCTTGTGTGGGGAAGCAAGCCCTTGCACACCACCCCATCTCTGATGTCCCCATTGTCACAGGCAGCCCCACAATTTTTGTGCATTGAATGGGAAAATCTGAAACAGGAATTTTCAGGTTTTCTGCTGAAAACCCTTAGATTGTAAAGGTATATCTAAACTAAGCATGTAAAGGTTCCATAATACTTTCTGTTCAATATAGGGTGGTTGAAGTGAAGCCAGCAAAGATGAGGACATTAGAGCTGGGGCCAGACTGCATGTATTCTTGGAACTTCTAAACAGGACTAGTCACACACTGTAATCCAAAGAGCAGTTTTGTATTTTTAAGAGAATAAATAAATAGATAAATTCATACAGCACTCTTTAAGAATATTCAATATTTTATTAACTATCCTTTTACAAACTGTCCAGGAAATGTCTGTCACTGGAAATGTGGACAATTTATACAATGAAATGGAAATAAAATTTGATTCTCCATCAAAGAGCTTTACTCAAGAGTTTGTACTTGAGATTTCCCCATTGCTTGATGTATTGCTTATGGCAAACATGAAAACATCATTAATGGATTGCAGACTGAAATGCTCATAAAAAAAAAAAAGGATGAAAAACAAGGCAAAATTAAAGTATATCTTAGCAAACAGCAGGTGTGTGTACTCATGTTACAATTGAAGTATAGAAATCTGAGGCATAAAAAGAGAGTGCCAAAATTATGGCAGGGATTGAATGAAGCATTTCCAGGTGATATCATTTGTGGATAATAGTCTTCTATTTTGGAAAGTGTGTCATCCTGATCACTGCTAGTCTAAACAGACTAATAAAGGTATCATTTATATAATAATGTTCAGTGTTTAGGAGTTTATGTGTATATGGAATAGCAGGATCAGAGTACAGAGAGCAACAGTCATATTATAAAAATGGCAATGGTGGCGAGAAATGCCTACACTTGTGGAATCCCATCAGTGAGGCGCTCATTCGCCCAAGCACACATCCTATTTGATATTGGAGAAGTTGTCTGAACTTGAGGAAGGAACTCTTCTGCAACCAGCCTAAATGCAAAGGTGGATTGTGCAAAGGCATTTTAAACAATGGAAGTAGCAATATAGTTAAATATGTTGAGCAAAAGGACAATGAGAAAAAGGATATGGATGAGGTTGTGCAAGAGAAAATAGGGCCCATTGCCAATGGTAGCTTCCCAAAAGGGGATTTGCCAAAGGGTGGGACATGTCATCCCATCTTTTCTCCTTCCATTCTGCTCTGACTTGTTAACGCTCATCACAGGCCATGAAAGGTGACTTTACCCCATCACTTACCACACAATTTGTCCTGAAACTGTTTGCCAAACTGTTGGATGAGGTCAAAGGACTCTACCAAGAACACATGCTCCTCCAGTGGGGGTGATGCCATGGCCCGCAAGGAGCTCATGTCTGCCCGCTGCACACCCACGGCATAGATTTCAATGCCAGCTGCCCGTGCCTGAGCTGCCACATCGGTCACACGATCCTGGGGACGTCCATCCGTGACGATCACAGCCACGCGCGGGACCTTCTTGTGCAGTGGCCGCGCCCCCTCCTGCGTGGTGAAGGCCACGTTCATGGTGTACTGGATGGCCAGCCCGGTCATCGTGCCTTGCGCCAGGGGGACAATGCTGTTGATGGCCTTCTCCATTTCAGCCCGGGTGAAAAAGGACTTGAGGGAGAAGACATTTTGGACCTGACTGGAATACTGGATCACGCCCACCCGTGTGGCATTAAACCCTACGTCCAGATTGTGAATGATGTCGATCATGAAGCGCCGCATGGTCTCAAACTCAAACGGGCGGACGCTGCGTGAGCTGTCAATCACAAAGACAATGTCCAGTGGACTGGTCTTACATTTAGTTGCTGGAGGGCAAAAAGGAAGAGACCCAGTTTAGCCAACTTTTATAACTTCCTTATTTAGTTAAATAAATTTCTATTTTACTCTTCTATTAAAACAACAATATAAATTAACAAACTTTTTAATACCCCAAATTAGGATTTAAAGACAAGTTGCAACAGATAAAATAACCTTGAAATGAAGAGTTGGAACAATGCACTTATTAAGCCAAGGGGCCAAATGCCCTCTCTATCACTCCTCCAACACAGGACAGCTTTTAAATCCTCAGGTCTACTTTCAAATAAAACTCTTCAGTCCATTGTTCTAATTGCATAACATTAAACCAGGTAATTTTTTCTTTTTATAATATCACCTTTATCCTTTCCCTGTTATTCGTTTTTCCAACCAATCTTTTAACCTGTAAAGTTGTTTTTCTTTCAGTATTTTTCTCAAAGTACAAGTTTTCTGGACATTCTTCATTTTCTGTGATTGGGATTAATGGTGAGATTATCGGCATTAATCTTGCTCTATACTCATCCCAGATTTTCAGCATATTCTTAAGGAAGGGCTTTTCTATCTTTCTTAACAGATAGAAACCCTAACCCTAACCCTTAAAAAGCACATTTGAAACAAGCAACACATTCTTGCTAATAAACTAAAATAAAATGCACACATTTTCAAAAAAAGTAAAGGCAGTTGTGTTGCTTCCTAGTATATAGTATTTTACGCTGAATGACAATAAAAGATTTGGCTTGGTGCAGTCAAATGCAACAAAATATTCTGTACAGTGGTCCTTCTCTGTGTGGGAAGAAGTCTACATTTGGCATTCAGTCACCTGAACTAGAGCTGTGGCTATAAAAATGAATTATAAAACATCTTCATTTTGAAGTAGATGGTTGGCTGAACTGGGGATGGGGAAGCCACAGTCTGCAAAACACTCAGTGTAATTGAGTGTAGAGTCTTCCTGTAAAATAACACTTAAGAAACCCCAAAAACCTCAGTGAATAATGATATAAGCTGCTCTCATTACCCAAATGTCTTCTCTTATTCCCAGAAGGGAGCACCATGGCCAAATGGGCTGAAAATTATAGGAGCTGTATTCCAACCTCTTGGTCTGTGTCAGTGAGCTCATGGGTTATTCCCCACCACTTTTAGTGCATGTCTGATTTGATCAGGATCAGCTAAGGCTGCTGTAGACAATGGTGGCTGCTTGCTTACCTAAGACTTTTGGTCGGGCTTCCAATGTTGTAAAGGCAAGGAAAAGAAGAGGAGCAATATGTAGCAGCTTCATCGTTCTGTTTCAAAATGAAAACACTCCAGCAAGAAGTCTGGAAGATTTCCTGAACAAAGAGAGAATGAATGTCTGATGAGATTCTGCAAATATTAATCCTGCTTTTGCATTTTTTTTAAGTAGTAAGAGGCCACCAATGCACAAAGACCATTTTTGGAGGCTAGTGCTTGAAATAGCATTCTGGGTCATTTTATGTGCAAGTGACAATCCAATCTTAAGGATATTTACTCAGAAGTAAGCCCCACTAAGTTCAACAGCTCTTGCTCTCTAGTAAGTGCGGTAGGATCACAGTCTCTGGTGCCTCTTTAATGAAACCCCTGCAGAAACAGCTGTTTTTAATGCAGTGCAGAAAAAATAACCATCACCCACCCAATGTTTGGATCCTTTTGGAAGCTCAGTGTAAGTGTCCACATTCATTTGGCAACCTCACAAGTTCCAAGTTACTGCACAAAGGACTCTTAATTCAAGGGTATTTTCCCCCACTTTGTGGTTTAGCTGTATTACTGTAGCTACAGAATATTGCATTACAGGTCTCCCATCATATAGCAAAGAAAAAGAACGGTCTGGCTTTCAGGCATGAGGCTGAGCTGGCAGACGAACAAACTTCATTTCAACATATAAACTGGGAACAATTTATTGCAGTGAAGCTCTTTTAGGCTTGTACCAAGCCTCCCCCTTATTCCTGATGCCTTTCTGAAGAGGAATTCTATGCAGCAAGCCAAATTGTCCACCATATTGTTCTCACAAGGTTATTTTGTGCAAGCAAGTTCTTGTTGTTACTTTTGAATCCAGTGCCATTTGCTCTTGTGTGTACAAATAGCAAATTGAAGTAGACCCTCCAAACTGGCAATCAGCCTCTTAGTGGGATTTACTTTCCAACAGAAGACTCCAACTACTTCTCAAGGTCTTCAGTTGCAGTCTTGCTTTTATCCCCAGATAATTTTCTGTTCAGGATGTGGCTATCGCATGGGCAATGAGACTAAGCTGTGAACCACTCCAGTTTGAATCTCAGTTCTCCCATGAACATACCAGATGGGCTTCGACAAGTTGCTCTCCTTCTAGCAATCAACCCTTGTCTACAACTACCATTGGTGGATACCAACCTACATTGCAGCATTATTGAAATGTTTATTCAATTGAGAATATTGAGAACTTAACATTCTGTATTAATGCAAAGTGTTGTTAGTATCAACTTCTTTGGCCTGAGATAAGCATTGGTGGTTCTCAGAACTCTGATTGAGCTCTTAAAATTACCAATGGACTGGGACACAGGACTGGTGGAAACAGCTTGGTCTGCTCTTATTCTTGACACAGAAACATAGAAAACATAGAAACAGAGCAAGTCAGAAGGGGCCTCCCAGGCCATCTAGTCTGATCCCTGGCTCCAGCCGGCTCTGCTCATGACATGCCTACCATGTGCAGAAGCATAACATGCAGAAATAGAAAGGTGAACTTTTTCATGACATGTAATCAAATATTTTCATTAGTTAATTTCTGCAGATCAAGCTGCTATAAAGAGCCAAATCGTCCAATATGCAGATAATGTGATGTACATAATGCAGCACTTCAAAAACAAAAAGCACCAATAATGTATCCAATTATACATTTATATATTTAACTGTCAGACTATTTTAATCAGATTTTAAACAAAATAAAACTTTAAAAGTTATTTAAATGTTTTATAGATTTAATTATATACACACAAAGATTTCAAAATATGAAACATTTCACTATGGAATGCCAGCTTCAGTGCTATAAAAATGCAGCTACAGTGCCTAATTATAAAGTTGGCAATCCCCACTCTACTCTGTGTCAATAAGTGAATGTTAACAAGCTTAGGGAAAATATATTGTCCAGTTCACAGAACATAAACATATCATTCTTCCCTCCACCCACTTCTTTTTTCTTGGCCTCAAATCTGTCTCATTCCCATGGACCCAACCCACCCAATTCTCTAACCAACCATTATTTATTCATTTGATTTAAATTATTGCTTGCTTATAAGAAACTGAAATGAACAGTGACTCTTTCAGTGATGGTACTTTGTTGCATGCTTCGCATCTAAACCTTGAGAAGGGGACGGTACCCTCACTATTTCTACGCACATTAGCAGGACGGGCAAGAAGTACATTGCCACTGGTGTGCAGGAGGGAAGCTTATTAGGTTCCATAGCACAGAGGAAGGCATATAATCAGAGTCAGACCCTGCAGGAAATGAGATAGTTCAGAGGAAAGACATTCCAAAGTAATGGCAACATATAAAGTAAAGGCAATGGAAACATGGCACAAGGGCCAGGTTGGCAGATTATAACTATTATCTGATTTGGAGTTAAGGGACGGAAATAAGAAGGACACTTTTGGAAATGTAATGTGAAGGAAATTTAAAAAAGTAGAAGGGTCCAGCTCTATACTGATGGTAAGATATGTTAATCTTTGCCCCTGGGCCAAGAATCACATTCCTCCGGCCATTATAGCATAACTCTTAAGACATCAACAAAGAAGGGAAAATGCATCACCGACAGAGAGGATCTGTATAAAATCAGCATATGCATAATACAGATTTAGGAATAATTACTATACTTCAAATAGAAATGTAATAATGGGAACACGCCATTTCACTGCAACTGAAACTCAAAACTATCCAGATGTGTGACAGTTTTGGCAACAGCCGCAAATATTTGTGATAAAAATAATGGTCCAGAAAGGTTCTAAATTGCACCAGCATTATACAACTTCATAAGGCATGCGTGCATGGGAGGACTACTTAGTTTTTCTAGTTTTCTAACAATTTGAACATGCTTAGATTCCCAGGAAGATGCAATATTTTGAAATATCCACCAGAGGACACTGTAGTGCAAAGCAGTAGCCGACTCTCACCATACTAGGAATTACGAGTATTCTGTTGTTGGGTTTCATAGAATCATACAGTTGGTCTCCCTCCCCTCCTCCCTCCCTCCCTCTCTAAACTTAGTATTTTCCCAGTTCAGTCCTAAAGATTTCATCCTTTCCCTCCCCCACCCCTCCATCAACAGCTCACTCTGACTGAATAAAACCTGTACAAGGACTTCCTTTTTTGAAAATTGAGGGATTTATTGGCAATCCTACACAAATGTTCTGATGGCAGGCCTGCCTGTCCACTAAAGGCCTATTGCCTTCCTCTTGAAAATATCTTCATCGGTTTCATCCTCTCCATACCCTACTTCATTTAAACCACAACTTACAATTTGCCCATTTACACACACTTTTATAGCATGTAGGATGAAATTGTCTTTGAGGAGGGTAGTTTGCATGTAGCCTTTTGGAGTGAGAGGAATCCTGCTCCCATAGAACTAAATCTCTAAGAGTCAGCAGTGTGATAGGGAAGATGACAGAAAGGAGACAAAGTACTCGTTCATTTGTTTTTGGTACGGGAAACCAACATATAACAGGGAAAAGGAACTTCCTTTGTATTACCTTTGAAAAGGGAGGGTGTAGGAGGCAACATCTGTACATTTCCATATCCATTTCAAAATAAGTTTTCCTAGTAATTTCAGGGTGGAGATAAACTTAGTGGGAGATCAATATGTGAAAAAGATATGCTTGCTTTTGTTTGGTTTACATATTTCTTTTGTGGTGGGGAAGTGAAGGCCCTTTGTTAATGCCTTTATTATGCTTTCTCTTTCTGAATA